TATTTTAACATTCATTAATTTCCCCCTTACTGTAACCCCAATTTCTGCATTGTTAAGAAATGGAGGGACAACTGGAAACTAGTTTTTGTGTTAATCAGCATTATGCCACAAATGTTGTCAAATGTGCTTAAAGGGGTCATATGATGCTGCTAAAAAGAACATTATTTGGTGTATTTGGTGTAATGAAATGTGTTTATGCGGTTTAAAGTTAAAAAAACACATTATTTTCCACATACTGTACATTATATATAAATACAAACACATGCATGTATATATTTAAGAAAAATATGTTACGTTTATATATTAAATATATTTATATATATCATATAATTTATATGAATATAAATATATTCATGTACATACATGTAAATATTTTCAAAATATATACTCTATGTGTGTGTATTTATATATACATAATAAATATACACAGTACACACACATATATTATGTAAACCAAAACTTTTATTTTGGATGCGATTAATCGCGATTAATCGTTTGACAGCACTATAAAAAATCCCTATGATAAATTGAAATGGAATAAATGATTATTATTGATTACAGACTTTGATATTTGGACAAATCCAGGCACATTTCAGGACATTTTTGAGACCTCTTCTAAAATTCTAAAAGACACATGATATAATTGGGTCTTTTTCTCAGGAGCAAAGTCTGAGAAGCATGAGACTTTAGCCAAAATCTCAATTTGCTAGGAGAAACAAGTGAGATATTAAAGAGCTCACATTCGTGATTTTTCGTTCTTACTAGCATCTCTTTACACACTGGGGGCTGTTTTCGTTCTGTTTCCCACCCCGCAGAGTGATCTATTAAACTTGGGGCATTTTAAATATCCGCTCCCCTGTCTCCGCTCTGATAGGCCTCCGAGACCCTCGCTAGTCTAATTTTCTGCCAGCGATCCAGGCACCGTACCCTGGGGCTGAGAGCCTTTATTGGTCTGGGACTGGTTTCACTAGGCTGGGCTGCGTGGTTATCTGATGGCTGTGTGTGTCGAAGTCAGCCAGGAAGACAGTGATGGAGAGAATTTGACCATTTCAGGGATGTTAGCAAATGTTTGTGGGTTTAATGAATAGGGATTTGGCTTTGCGTTTGGTTTTCCGGTAAGTGAATAGGTGTTGCTTGAATGACTGAAAAGTTAGTAGTAAATGAAAGTCAGATTTCTGATGACGAGAACATCAGGAATGTAAGGAATCGTCATACAGTTGTGATCTTAAAGCTGATGCTGTTCGCATGTTCGTTGTCTTATTGCGTACATTATTTTAAGTGGAAAATATCTGGTCTTAGTAATATTTCATTAAAATGTAATCTGAAATCAATCCCTTTTTACAACTCCTTACATTTTGGTATTTAACATCCACTTTTTGTGAGCCGAAGTTGGCATGAAATGAAAATGTAGCTATTTTCTAAATGCATGTTATCGATCTTATTGTGCATATGATTTCATTCAAAAAAATAATCAAAATTTCATAACTCAGTCTTCTAGTGAAATTACAGAGTTCTTTTTGATTGATGTATGCTAGACTTCTCCAATCATTTAGTCTGTTTAACTCTCCTTCACACCTGCCTCCATCCAATCAACACCTGATAAACAGAACCAAGTCCCGCCTTACATTTTTTTCTTTTTTTTCGATAATTCATTTGACTCAGACGTACATTACAGTAAGGAAGAATAGAGCTGCTGCTACTTCCATTTCATCTTTACTTTAATATGCGATGAAAGATACTGCCCTACATCTTTTTTTTCTCACTGAATACACTATTTCACTTGGAAACATGTCATAATATGAAACTAAAATGGGATGTGAATGCCATTTAATGTTGACTTTAAGTGCACTCTAAAACATATGAAGAATCTTTAACACCCAAAGAATCTTTCCGTTCCACAAAAGGTTCTTTTTAGTGGAACAAGGTTCTTTAGATTATTAAAATGTTCTTCACATTAAGAGAAAAAAAGAGGTTCTTTTTAAAAATGTTCACTGAAAGTTTCTTGCGGAACCAAGGTTCTTTTATGGCATCGCTGTGAAAAACCTCTTTTGGAACCTTTATTTTTATGAGTGTGGCTATTTCTACCTGACTTATAAATTAATTTTGCTGGTGTAATGATTCAGTTATTTTAAATAATACTTTCTAATTGAACATAATTAGGAAATGTATGCGTTTCCTCACGTATACACATTTTTTTTTTTTTTACATTACCTGACGATATATTTTTACAGAAAGTCTTTTTTCTGTCTACTCTTTTTTTTTTTTTTGCACCATCAAAGATTCCTTGGCACCCCAAAAATGGAGCGCACACCTGCTGTAGATGGAGCATTGGTAAAGGGTGGGTGCTGACGGACAGACAGCGGAGAACACAAGGAGATATTGTTGTGGATTCACTCAAGGTCACCCACACAACAGTGTGCCAAGTCTCCTCCATAAATACACCACATACCACGCCGCAGCCTCAATATTCACAAATAATGTCTGCAATGTCTGCGTTCAAGCGCAACAAAAATGCTTATGAGAGAATGAGAGAAACTTAAATCTCCACCATATAGTAAAAAAAGGGTAAATGATAAATGAATTCAAATAATACAAACGGACCAAGCACAAGGGAATAACAGCACCAGCTTGCACAAGAACAGTTTCTCCGCGCTCTGATCCCAGAACAGCCATCTCATTTGTAATCGTTGATCACTTTTACCCTCATTATGACATCCTTGCTGCAAGCACCCATGCAAAACAATTATCAAATCTATGGTCCCATTTTTCTTCAACGGTGTGAAGAAAAGCAGTTAGTATGGTAATTTCATACCCTGAAACAGTCCTGGATCTCAGGTGATCTATCTTTCCGGGAACATATATAGAATTATTTTTATATTCCCTCAGGGAATTCTTCCTGCTAACTTTTCTCTCCTCTTTTATTCTCTCCTGTCCATCTTATTCCTTTCGGTTGGCCTCCAGATGTCAGCAACTGAGGGAGTGTCCACACTGCTCAACGGTGTCTGACACTTCTCACAACAGTGATAACAGGCCACAAAATCGTCCTTCAACTGTCCGCACTCCTGCTGATGTCACTGGGAAATGATGGTTTCTCGGAATCTCCCTCTGACCCAAACGGATACAGAATGATTCATCAGAGAACCAGCAGTTAAAGGGATAGCTCACCCAGAAATGTCAATTCTGTCATTATTTACCCATCATGTTATTCCAAAGACTTTGTGCACATGTACTGTTTTTATTTTTTGGTTCTTCACATTTGTTTTCCACAGAATTAAACCAAATTTGGGTTTGGAATAAGATTGTACAATAATCCATTTATAATCAGATTGATGGCTCAAACAGCCAGTGAACATATGTGTAAAATCAGATTCAAATGGGTGGTGTAAACCTAAAATAAACCAATTAAAAGGAAAACTTAAAGCGTGTAAATGCTTAAATCTATTTTCTCTATTTTCTATCTTCTCAGGATTCATAAATACCTTTGGCATTGCTGCTTGTGCTTATTTAGTCTTATGAACTAATCAGTGCAGGAGACTGAATATTTACTAAATATTCCCCCCCCAAAAAAAGCTCTTATGGCATATATGTCATTCAAGGCAAAAATGACAGTTATACTCATGGTAGCTCTGCATTGGCTGAGGTTTTGTTTGGAATACATGTAATGCACATGTAATCAAATATATGAACCAAACTGCAAAATTTAGGGTTCACATAAACCCTAAAAAAGAATCTGAAATCAGATTGGATTCATTCCGATTTACGAAAATTAGTAAACATACCTAATAATGACGGAATTTTCTTTTTTGGGTTGAACTATGCCTTTAAGAAACAGATTCAAACCTACAACATTACACATACATCAACTAAACCTACCGTCACCAATATTTAACTACACATTCTAACAGAAATTTACCCTCCGCAAAGACCAGCCCCCTTAGTTACTGTTGCTATGTCCGACAAGCCATGCCACTCTCACGCCACACATCATGTTCTCAGTGAAAAATACATCGCGGAGCAACGAGAAACCTGACAACACGCCGGCCGACAGACAAGACAGAGCAGGTTACTTCTGGTATGAAACAAAGTCTCAGCTTTCAGTTTTTGTCATTTATTAAGAAATTCAGTTAAAGCTACTGTACATGTGAAGCGATCATCTCTTCCTCTTTACTAGTTATAGCACGAAATAAACATGAATGAACACCAGAAAGTATCTTGTTTCAACCGCGGAAAGACATCAATACACCGTTGTTCAAGTTCAAGTCCACCGACGTTAATCTACTCTACAGTCTGGTTTGTTTTGGCAGATTCTGCGTTATGATTGGTCAGATCGCCTGTCAATCACACTCCCTGCGAAGGGTCAATTCCAGTCACACTTTATTTGACAGTGTCCTTGTTACACATTATATGCACTTACTATAGTAAGTAATATAGTACACTAAAAATACAATACACTATAGTATAGCAACCAATCCTAAATCTAACCCTAAGCAAGATAATATTACTCCGTACTTGTTTGTGTAATTACACCGCAATTGCAATACCTTACAATAAAGGGTTACACTTTATTTGAAGGTGTCTTTGTTACACACGTTATGTGTCCTTACTCTTATAATAACAATAAATTATGCATAATTACATGCAAGTAATCCTAACCCTAACCATATAGTAACATGTTAGTTTAATTATACATTTAAGTACTGAGTAATTTTAATTAACTACATGTTACTATATGGTTAGGGTTAGGATTACTTGCATGTAATTATGCATAATTTATTGTTATTATAATAGTAAGTACACATAACGTGTGTAACAAAGACACCTTCAAATAAAGTGTAACCAAAGTTCCTTATATTTCACAACAGAGCATCACACCCATGAGGCATTTGCAGAGAGATCAGGGGAATGTTCTGGTGTGCTTCATGTTAATCTACACACTCTCTGCCATACTAGGACTCTGATGGAGTGTATACAGACACACGTTGCACATGGAACTGTCTTACTTCTCGTAATCATGCTTGCAGTAAAGCAAGCGGTCGCGACAGTAGCAGGTCCCGCTCAGCGCGCTGCGACACACTGCACACTTGACACACGTCTCATGCCAGGACAGTTCATTGACGCGCAGAAGGAAGCGGTCCGCGATGGGAGACTCGCACCCTGCACACACCTCACCTCCTCCCACGTGCTCTGGTGGAGAAGAACAGGACACACACAAACGTACCATGAGGGACTTGAGACCCACGCATTACAGCACTGATATTAATATGGAAAGAAATGATAAATGAAGAATAAGAGTCTCACGGTAAGGTGTGGCGGAGGGGGCCTGCTGAAGACATGATTGGTTTTCTTCTGTTTTCATTCCGTTCCTTCCTTCTTTGGAGTGCTGACTGAAAAACAACAACATAACAAAGACTCACATTTAAAGACAGCAATCGGTCTGTGATAATGTGGAACTATTGTAAGCTGCTTGTAATTGCTCAATGTTGTTTGTTATCATATTTTATTGTTATATCTACATGTAATGTGGGTAAAAAGCACACTGTAATGTAATGTTACTGTGAAGATACTGACAATAATCTGTGAGGAAACATAGCATCATTAGTTTCATTAGTAAAAGCCAAAATCAGGTCCTGTTTGGGCCCATTTTAATGTGCATGGTAAAATATGTTAATTTTTTTAAAGGGCTAATACGAAAAATATATATTTTGAAAATAACATTACATGCCATCTTCTGTAAATTATGTTTTTATAAATAAAAAATAGTCTTGTAGCTTATGGGGAAAAGGGTGTTCCCAGAATTCCTTTCGAGAAGCATTGTATTTGTTTATGTTTCATTCAAATAGGCCTATATATATATATATTTATTTTGTTATCGGTTATGTATAGTGTTTTAAATTGCATTGCATGTAGTTTAATTCATGTTTGCTGCAGTATTTTAGTCATATGTGTAACAGTTAAGGTGTTTGTGTTCGTGTCAGTGTCTTTATCACGATCGCTGGAGAAGCCAGTTTTGTTTAACTTGAGTCACCGTTTTTCTCATTAGGTTTCACAAAAGAAACAATATCTGAATAGGTCTAATATGTTGGTATATATACTGATATTATATGATTTAACGACATGTAAAGTCAGAAACAGCAGGCTACGATATAGGCCTACATGTAATCTCGTAATGCTTGGAAAAATTTCAAGTTCTGCGTCGACGCTGCCAACTTTTATCTTTGACCGTAAATGTAACATTTATTTACAATGTAGCCTGTTCTTCACACGCTTTCTCTCGTAGTCTATCTGTTTTAAGAAAGACATAACTTCTTTTATTTGATCTCACTCTATAAAAGGGAAAGTGTTTAATGAATGCATGAGCAGGCTGGGTGTGTTGTGTGCTCAGTCAGAAGCTCCTCGTGCAGGTGAGTTGTCCGGTATAAGGCGCGCGGCTTCGGTAGCCACATTTCCGCTCACAGACGCTTTGGTAGCTATTTGGCAAACGAAACAACGCAAAAACAAAAACATCAAATCCAACGATTTGATTTAAAACAGGAAGCCTGCTGCCTCAGAAATAATAACGGATGACGGTTGTGATTATTGTAATTTAGAATAACAAAAGCTTTCACAATAAATATGCATTTGAGATTTACACTGTTTGGTTTATTTAGAAAAAGAGGGAAATCAAAATCTTAATTTGTATTTTATTGCCTACTTTGCTTTTAGAATATTCAGGTTACTTTTTTTTTTTTACTCGGCTATTATCTTTGTTGGTGGTTAAATTATTAGGCTATTATTGCTATTATATCTGCCTCTCAAAAATCCCTTTTCCTTGGAAATTTAAAGTTGAATTTTTTTTTCTAATAGCAGAAATCACACACTGCGTGTCTGATCCCTTTCCCCATTAATAATGCAGTTAATTGCATGAGTCAGTTTATTAAAAATACAAGAGCTAATAACGGGCCATCAGCCTCAATGAGGAATAATCACACTGCGATATTCGCGCTTATGTGGAAGCATGAGCATCTTATATAGGCTACATATTTAAAACTATAAATATACACATTTATTTATTTATTTTTTCGGAGCTATCTATACGCGTTATCGAAAATATAGGCCTTTTTTAATACCGTCTGTTAAATGTAGGCTACGTGGGCTACAATATATGGCCCACCTGTCGTCGTATAAAGGGAATAGCCTAATTATGATGATTGCGGCTGATCTAGGCTAATGTTTAAGTGAAAAAAAAATCAACTTATCATTCCAAGTATTTCAGTAAATAACTTAGCCTAGGCTATTACGACACTAAACTGGTGCAATTTGATATTGAAGATTTCATGATTTGATATTTTGATGTGCGTTCATTTTGTTTCAATTAAAGTTTAGTGTTAATTTTCAGTCGAAGATGCTCATGACAAGAAATTTCAGTGTTCTGTGACGTGATATAAAATGCAAACGTAAATATGAACAAAATTAATAGGCTTTTTAGGCTATGTCTGAAATAACGGCGCTTTCGATTATGATGTCAATTTGATCCTAATTTTTTACTCGAAACCAAACCATTTATAAACTTACAGAAACTGCTGCCTGTAATACACTCAAGCAGGCTACCGTAGAGTTAACTATTTTTTAAAGTTTGATATTTTATATTTTCTAATAACCTACAAACTTGTATTTGTATTTTTTTTGTAAATGTTACTTACATTTAAAATTCTGACACGCGTCCGTAATTTTTCCTATCATCTGGCCTAAGCTGAACTCGTGAAATATATGCTCAGGTTTTACCAAATACAGATACGGCAGACCTATTAAAGTACCAGACATAAATAGGCTATGGTCGATTAAAATAAATTAATGCATAAATAAATTCATTAACACCAGCGCAGCAAAACTTCGCATTTCTGTCAAATGTAGCCTAGATCACAGTAGACAATATGGCTATACATATGTAAAAGTCATGAGAAATTATCATGCATGTTTCTATGCGAACACACTAAGAAAAGTTCAAGTATCAATAGTGTCATAGATGACAGCAGGTGATGCTCAGTCCCGTGCACTTACCTAGTGCTACAACACACTCCTCCTGAGATTTCTGTTGGTAACATCAAAATACCTTTCAAGAAGAGGACGGGCAAGAGTGCTCCAGAAGCCAAACTTTAGTGTTATAGTCCAAAATGCACGCAGTGGCACAAAAGCATTGCCAGACTGTGTGTGTGTGTGTGTGTGTGTGTGTGATGTTCAGGCTCACGCTTTATGTGATGAAGACTCGGGCTGCGCGCGCACAATGAAGGAGGGAAACATCAAGGAGGGGTGCAAGAAGATGAAAACAATATATACACAGGCATACACAGGAGTATCTCGCTCTTTTTGATTCAGAGGAACTGCTTTTTTTCCTGGCTGATATGCTGTTTTAAACAAATAGATTGACAAGTTCCTTATAGCTGTCATAGCATAGCCTATATAATAATCTCAGACTTTAGGTAAAGATCATTAGACTTAAGATGAAAGACATATTGTGAACGCAGGCTAATAATGGTTTGTAACTAAGTAACAAGCAAATGAGTGTTAAAGATGTAAGGAACGTGTCATTTCTATACAGTTGAAATCAGCCACCTTTCAGGATAATGTGCGTTAGGTTAAATAGCCTACATAATCAAATGTGTAATTTGTACTTGTAGTCTATATTTAAAAAGTATATAAACATACATATATATGTATAAACATTTCGAATATATGATTAAGACAAATATCTATACACAAGTATGACTTTGTAGCTAATATAGCCGTATCAAGAGCTACAGTGAAATAATAGTTACTTTATACAGGTCTGCTGACAAAACTATGCCTAATATGGGCGTTCAGGTCATTTTAAAGTAATTAGTATGCCCAATTAAGAGCTAAAAGGTTCTAACTCGAAAATGTCGTCAAATGCATTGCGCATCGCGTCTGCCATCTAGGGGCCAAATCGTGCCGCATAATATGGCACTTTTTGTTGCAGTTTAGCTCCAACCCCAATCAAACAGACCTGAACAAGCTAATCGATGTCTGCAGGATTACTAGAAAGTTACAAGCAGTTGAATTTGATCAAGGTTGAAGCTAAACTGAAAGTGGACCTCGAGGGCTAGAGCTGAGAAACCGAGCTAGAGTTATATGAAATACAAATAATACGCAGGTAAGACTGACAATTAGCATGTGCCATTAGGCCCTGATGTGCTCTAAATAATCATTTTCCCTACTGATAATAATAAAACGTCTCACTGTGTGATTTTCTCTTCAATGACTCCTCGGTGTCCAGTTATTAATGTTATTTAGATGTAAATTATTGTCCAGACAGCTACGGAGGCAACGCGGCGATCTCACGTGTTCAGGATGGACCAATCACTGGTGCTTGCGATAACTGGATTACAATTTTATTATTATTATTATTATTACACCATGAATATGAACTAAAATGCGCTTTTACAGACTATCTCTGTATTTAAAAATGTATTTAGTTACCACTTGTAGTGAACACATCTTTCATACGCTAGTACACTCAAGTGTAGGCCTACTACAAGTGGTAACTAAATGTTAAAAGTGCATTTTAGTTCATATTCATGGCGTCCCGAAACAGACACAGTTGAGTACACTTAGATGATCTTAAGTTTATCTTAATAAGTACTAAAGAATAATTTTTAGTATATCAAGTACAAAATTAGTGCGTGAAAATAGAGCACTTTAAGTAGGCTACATTATGGAAGTGCACTTTTTTTCACCTGGGTTTATAAAGTATAAAATGCTGAAAACAAAGACGTGTTGTTGGTTAAGGATGTAAACACACTAAAATAATGTGGTTTTAAAGAATCTGAAAACAGTAAGTAGACAGTTTTTGTTTTGTTTTGTTTCCATATATTGCATATTCATCCCCAAAGGACTCATGAGTCAGCATCAAACATCTATACAAGACAGGCAGTCTATGTATCTCAAATAAACAGGTAAATCTGAGCCAAGTTTCCAGTGAGAAAGGGAACTACCATCTGTACTGTGATTTAACTGCACCGTACGTCATGTGCCACAAAGCAGGAAAACTAAAAATGTACAGTTGTACTAAAAATACTTTACAGCCCAAAATGGGATGTATTCTAGTTTAAGGAACCCCAGAAGTTAAGTAAACATTGTCTCAGTCACTGTCAAACAAAATGGAGCTGCTCGCCCTTCCCTGAATCACTACGTTTAAGCTTCAGTCCGGACAGAACCTTTTGGGCCATTTTCTCCTCCGTCGGACGCCTCCTCAAGGATCGGATCAGGCGCTCTCTCCCCCCCAGGGTGTTGTTGGATTGGTTGGTATTTCGTTTTCCCATTTGTCCCACATGTTCTTTAAATGAAGAAGCTACAGCTTTAACCCCCTCATCCGATACAGTCCTTTTTACCCCTGCATGAGGTGCAGTCTGAGTCTCAGGGGTGTATGCAGTCCTACTCTGCGGGACGGGGGTCTTGTGTAATCGGCAGTGAGTTTTTATTGGGTTCTCAGGCTCGGGAGAGGAGCTGCGACTGCTGTCTGCGCTTCTTGACACAAGTCCTTCCCTGCTCCCAGAATCGTCCTCGTCCCGTGACTGAGAGCCTGCTTTGCGTAATTGCGCTCCTGCCGAACCCTGCCTGTGGTACTTCACTGGCTGCCTGCTGAAGTGAGCCCTCGACTGAGTTTGTAATTGACTTTCTGCAGCCTGCTCCAAATGCACCTGAGGAGATGCTGTCGCCCTCATAGCCAGGACTAGAAGAGATACAGATAAAAACCAGACATTTATTAACAACCATATCATAAACAAAACTTTTTGTTTTCATAATTAAAGATTATATATATATATGCCCAGTTTATAATCAAAATGCTTTTGAAAAATGTCACACGTCGAACATTCAAGCATCTTATAGTAGTCAAAAGTTTGATTGAAACAGATTTGCTTATGACAGCAGGAAGGAAATTATTGGCAATGCTACAAACACACAGCAAATAGTTTGCGCAAGCAGCCAGCTGATATTGAGCGTCAATGTCTTTTAAAGCCCGCCTACCTGCTCTCTCAATGGCTTCTGGGCTCAGCTGGTCCATTGCTTCATTGGATGATGACTTGTCAGAAATATAACCCTCACTTGATTCTCTCTTGATAGTGCGATTCTGTTAAAATGATAAAAATTCTGAATATACGTTGACTTGAGAGCCAATAAGGCAGAAGGATCATTCTGATTTTTACATTACTGTAATGTTATAATATTTGAGTATTTTAGTATTATTTTGTAAATAAAGTCTGAGTGAATTTAAGATTTCTGGTTAAAACTTGTTACATACATTATCGTTTAAAAGTTTGGGGTGAGTAAGAAGTCACTTTTATTCAGAAAGGATGCATTTAATTCATTAAAAGTGACTGTAAAGACATTTATAATGTTACAAAAAAAATTCAATTTCAAATTAATGCTGTTCATTTGTGCTTTTTTATTAATTATTAATTGAAGAATCAAAGAATTAAAAAATGTATCACGGTTTCCAAAAAAATAAAAAATTCAGCAGCACAACTGTTTTCAACATATAATAACATAATAAATGTTTTTTGAGCAGCAAGTCAGCATATTAGTATGATTTCTGAAGGATCATGTGAGACTGAGGACTGGAGTAATGATGCTGAGAATTCAGATTTACATCACAGAAATAAATTACATTTTAAAACATATTCAATTAGAAAAGTTTTTTGAAACTGCAATAATATTTCACAGTAGTACTGATTTTACTGTATTTTTGATCAAATAAATGCAGTCTCGGTGAGACTTCATTAATTTTTCTTTTTTGAATGGTAATCTTATGTCAGTTTTACAGCATTAGAATTCTTGTATAAAGATTTATTATATCATATATATGCAGGTCAGTGTTGATAAAATATGCTGGTTCCGTTCTATGGTATTTGTGAGAAACTATTTGCAGCTAACTAAATCTTAACGTGTGGAAAACTTTGACCTTCTGAACTTCCGTTTTGGTTCTCGCTAATGAGAAATTCTTAGATGGTTAAACTGTTCCAGTTAGAGAAGACTAGTCTAATAGCATAACTATTAGCATCCTCCAGGCTTTCCTGTAGTAAACAACTCGGTGAGGAGCTAAAGCAGAGTGCGATAGAGGTAAGGCTCTAACATAAGCACAAGCACACAGGCAAGCAAAAGTAATCTTCACAGAATAAGCGTTTAATCCCTCCAGGTCTTTCCACGGGCACGGCGGGACAATTAAGGCCCAAGCGGTGCAAGACAGGCTCAAGCAGATTAAGATGAACTCTTTCGCCCGCACGAGCATGTCCACCTGAGGTGAGCTTTTAGCATCGTCATGACAACAGCCAGCTTAAAGCACGGCCTGCGATTGTGTGAAGTCAAGTACTTATTGCCTACCTCCAGAGAGCGTGGACGTTCCCTGCCCGCGGCTTCAGGGTCCTGAGAGGAACTGCTGCCAGGAGACAAGGGACACGAGGCTCTGGGAGGGGTGTCTGGGAGGGGTGCCGTGGGAGGTGGTGGAGGAGGTGTGCTGGATCTTGTTGCGGGACCGAATACGTGATCATAGTGTGAGATCATAAACTCCACGAGAAGAGCCTGATAGCTGGTTTCCAGCAGAGCGATCATCGACACGTCTCCTGACACCAGGGGCCGCAGCAGAGTGGGGCCAAACACAATGCCCAGGTTTCCTGGAGACATCTTGTTGTCCTCGTAATGTTCTGCAACCCTGAAGAGAAGAAAGTGATGAATTAGTAGGGAACTATGTTAACACTTTATTTTAGGGTCACTTAACTAGTTGCTTATTAGCATGCATATTACTAGAATATTAGCCGTTTATTAGTACTAATTAAGCACATATTAATGCCTTATTCTACATGACCTTATTCTACATCCCTAATCCTACCCAATACCTAAACTTAACAACTACCTTACTAACTATTAATAAGCAGCAACTTAGGAATTTATTGAGGGAAAAGTCGTAGTTAATAGTGAATAAGTGTTCCCTATTCTACAGTGTTACCGGAATTACTTTATTTAAACAAGTGGCAGCTTTACAGTTTTTTTCAGTAGCCCCTCACTGCAGAACACAAGATCCAGGGGGCGTGGTTGGAGCCATATCTAGGGGGTGGAGATTGGTTGGTTTAGGGTTGGAGATGGGTGGGTTTAGGGATCAGGGGGTGGAGATGGGTAGGTTTAGGGGTGGAGATGGGTGGGTTTAGGGATCAGGGGGTGGAGACGAGTAGGTTTAGGTATATGTAAGGTGGGAGGAGTTGGATCTGGATCCAACCACGCCCCCTGGATCTTGTGTTCTGCAGTGAGGATCATCTCGTTTTTTTACACACTTGCTAGGGCCCATTTCTCAATGCTTGGGTTACTTTTTTTTTTACACGATAAGCACAACAGCAGTCCAGATGGGCTAAACTACTCATTTTCCATTGCTTTGGCATAAAATGCACTCAATGACTACTTCTTCCAAATTACATGAATCCTTTTCTCACTCAAACACAATCACAACCAAAACTATATGTACTTAATCACAGGCCAATCTGAACATGTTTATTTTACATTCTCTTTTTGACCTAACATGAATAAAACGGTAATTTGCTACACTTTTAGAGTAATACCATATTGAAATCTATTCTAAATTCAATAAATGAAATACTATCAAAACAATTGCATGTAGCTAAATTAGTGTTATTTTAATATCTCATATAATTTATATTATATATAAATATATTTAATATATAAACATAAAATTTTTTGTAAATATATACATGCATGTGTGTGTATTTGTATATACACATAATAAATATACACAATACACACACATATATTATGTAAACAAAAACATTTATTTTGGATGCAATTACTCGCGATTTATCGTTTGACAGCACTAGTTTTTATTAGTATAATTTCTGTTTTCATTTTAATTTTAGTTAAATTTTTTAGTAATTTTGTTGCGTTTTTGTCATTTTATTAGTAAAAAAAAACATAAAAAAACAACAACAAAAAAAGAAATGTTGCTTTTGTAACTAGCTGAAATAATTTTAAGTTTCTTTTATATATTTTCATTAATGCTATTTATGACGATCTTTGCTAGTGTTCAAAAGAATTAACTGATTTGAGAGACACATATTTTGCTAATTTTAGTGCATTTTGGATGTGAAATTTCCTGCTGTGCCAAGCTGGCTTCAAGTTGGTTAGGAGAACTGTGCGAAGAGATTTGACAAAAAGACCTAAATATTGAGAAATGGGCCCCAGAAAACACTGTAATGTGATTTCACACAGTATGGTACCTGTTCAAGTGGGCAATCATGTGCTGCA